TTGAAGGCTATAAGAATGCATTCAGGTCGTTGAATTGTCGTTTTCTTCTAAACAAACGGTTGAAAACATTCATTAAAGGAGTTTTTGAATTATTTGGAAAAGGACAGAAAGAGGAACAAAAAGAACCACATAAAATTAAATTGCTTAAACTCGAAGCACATCAACATCAAATCGGTAAGTCATACGATTTATGATGATCATCGATATTGATACTTAGAATTACATATTCATTTTATGCAATTTTGATTAGTTAATCCACTTCTTAAACAAACGTATGGTGTGGTTAATTTGATCGAACCTGATGGATACTCCGTAATTTCGGTAAATTTTATACATACATTACTTATGTCCATTATTTTGAGGTTTCTAGATCACCAACATTTGAATTTTATTTTAGGATATTGATGACACGATTAAACAAACTGAGATCTTAGAAGGTGCGAGAACCGTCTTTTCTAATACGTTTTTAGAAGAGGCCAAAGAGGTACGTTCGTTTCTTTTGTACATATATGCAAATAAGTATATTTAATTTTAACGATGCTGTCATTCTAAAGGTTCCAGGAATGCCCGAGTTATACCATAAATGGGTGATTATTAATTGAAAACTCATTTAATAAACTAAAAATTTCAATAAACTATTAAAATTATCTTCACATTAGTATGACAGAGGTGTGGCTATTCATTACGTGTCCAATTCTCCTTGGCAACTATTTCCAATGTTACAAGCTTTCTTCGATAAATCTGATTTCCCTCCTGGTTCTGCACATCTTAAATTTTATGATGGTTTGTTCAAAAGCGCGCGTGAACAAAAACAACATCCAATGGAAAGCAAATTCATATACATAAGAGAACTTCTTAGAGTGAGAATCCCATTTACTTATTTTTATTTTTAATTATCATAACTACTTAACTTATTTATCTTAAAGGATTTCCCTAAACGCAAATTTATTCTTATTGGTGACACGGGGGAATATGATCCAGAAATGTAAACTATCAAATTAAAATTGTTATATTTTGATTGAATTCATATTAACTTTGATTTATATATATTTTAACAACGATTCAGTTACACAACAATTTATCGTGAGAATCCAAGTCGAATTCTTCGTATATTTGTCAGGGACGTAACTACAGAACATATAAAAAATCAACCGGCACAATCACCACATCAATCTTTTATTAATCAGGACTAATTAGGGCTGTTACGCGATCGATGTCACCGGACTATTTCTGAGTTAAGAAATTATTTATAGAGCTAAATAAATGCATATCGACAAAAAAAAGAAAAACAGTCTATTTTATTTAAAAATTATAGTCAAATATATCTATTTTTTATTTTTATTTGAAACGAAAAAATGAAGCTAAAATTCGAGGGTTTGTCCAAATTAAAGCCGGATGGAACTTATTTATTTAAAGATGTTTCGAAAACTCTGTATGATAATGAAATATTAACTATTTCTGGTCCAAGCGGTGTAGGGTAATATGTCAAAACCGACAGCTCTTTACAAATGCAATTTAGGACATTATTGCATACATTGTTTGTTAAGGTAAAATTGTCCTTTTATAAAGGAAAACTACGTTGTTGAAATGTATCTCCCAGTTGGCAGTATATGAAGAAGGTGCCATGTTCCTAGACGATAAGTATGTGATCTATCATAAAGATCTAAAGTGAATAAATTTGGGTCCGATCCGATTTTTAAATCTTCAATTTAGATCTCCCGAAGAATACGGAATTACGAATTGGAGAACTCGCATCATGTATGTCCCGCAGAGAGCTCGTATGTATTTTTGTTTCTTAATACGTTGATTTCGTAATCAACCAGTTGTGCAAATCATGCACATACGACATTGTTATATGACATTGCCATATGACATTACCGATTACGATATTACTTAATAGCCATAATGCAAGGCACGCCGTTGGAATTTTATGGAGCTATACAAATGTTTAACTCACAGCAAAGGAACAAGTACAAGTACGAAGATCCGGTAATGTTATTTTTCATATTATCAAGAACCGTTATGGTATCAAATTAAGCCGAAAGCATTCTAATTATACCTTTTTATAATAGGTTGAAATAGCTGAACGGTAAAAATAAAAATCAAATTAAACAATATGACATTATTTTTATAGATATTTAATTACGTTTTATTTTCGTTAGATGGAATGTTAATAGAGACTTATGGGACAAAACTTGGAACCAATTATCAGGTGGCGAAATACAGCGTATTTCGCTAGCCATTGCTCTATCATGCAAGCCGCAAATATTACTTCTTGATGGTATAAAAATTCATTATATTTTATTTCACATTTCAATATACGCAATAAATGTCATTAATTGAACCTTTGTTCTTTTTGAAATTATTAAGAACCAACATCGGCACTAGACCCTACAACTTGTCTTTTGGTCGAAGAAACACTTAAAAAGTATACTTGTATTTGGGTTACGCACAATATGGAACAGGAAAATCGTGTAGCCACTCATCGATTAGTGTTAAGTCCTTACGTAAATGAAGATGTGAATGAATCTGAAAGCATACTGATAGATATTTAGATATTTCTCATGTATATTATTATTTTTAAACATTAGTAATATTGATAGTTTACAAAATCATTCATAATAATAAAATAATATTTATTTTTTAACATGAAGTTGCGAGTTTCCTTATATTAACATCAATATTCTCGAAATTTGTTAAAGTTTGGTTTTACTAGTTATTTCATTATCAAATAACGAGATTCCTGTAAGTTGCTCCAATTCTTTGATTGCTTTTTTCTGATCCACCTAATTCAACTCCTATAAATTATAAAGACATTAATTGGTATGAATATATTTGTATAAGATGGAAAAATAATTCTTACTGATAGTTCGCATCCCTAAGTTCATTGCTGTTTTCAAATTCCTAAACATAGAACAGTTGATGGAAATTTTTTGAGTGTTACGAATAGATGTTATATTATAGTATGAACAAATATAATTGCATACATTCCAATATCATCGAGGAAAATAGCATCTTTAGGTTCAATTCCTAATTTTTCACATGCATATAAAAATATTCTTGGATCCGGTTTTCTAAGAAACAAAATTCATATTTAATAAATTTCACCCGTTCTAATACATATTTAACCTAATAACATTACATACCTCAGTCCAATAACACTAGACTCAAAAAACTCATCGAATAAACACTTCAACTCCTGAGGCATAGTACCACCCAATAATTCGATTTCTTTTAAATCATCTGTTGGCATTAGAAAATTATTTGTCAAAGCCACTAGTTTAAATTTATTACTTGAACGAAGTTTTTTAAGTGCAGTGAAAATGGCTGGATTGATTTTTGCAGATTCAGACATCATTTTTCGAAATAATGATTTGCCATCTATTAATATTTGATCTGGAATTTGAGGTAGTGCGGTTTCTTTTTATACAGATGAAACAGATGAATATTAAAATAGTTTAAACACCGAAACTTAATAGTAAAATGAATTTAGAATTCTGGGCTTACCCCCACGTGATTTGAGATATTGTATATAATGTTGTTTATTAATTGGATTTGATAATTCTTCACTGAATACTTGATAAAATTCGTTGAGTGAAATTTCTCCACGTTCTAATCGCTATTTTTAAAATACTCAATCAATTAAAGGATTTAATTAATTAAATGCCACTGCCCAATTTCTTTTTTTAACAAACCTGAAAAGCGCCATTTTCACCTTTCTTCACACTTTTAAAAAAACAATTTGAAGAGGAAATTTATTTAAAGATACCGAAAAAAATAACCATTTTTAGTCAAACTCACATTATAACATTTATATAGTTATGAGGCAAATTATGTTCTTTTTCAAATTTCATTATTCCTTCAAAAGGAGAACCAACGCACACACCGCCCATATCAAAAATAATCACTTTGTAAGTCATCTTTTGGGAGTCATAAAAAGAGATACTAATTTCAAAAATATTTGAGGATCTGTGATATAACGACTTTATTAGCACAAGACGATCGTCACATCTTATTTATTAACAAAATAAAACCGAAGGCTATACAAAATTTTATAATAATTTGAATCTATAAATCTAAATTTATAGTACGTAGTATTTAAATATTCTTGTGGCAGGAACCTCCAATAAAGATTTCCCGGTCTTACTAGTTATCCCACGCTATATCGATTTGTAAAATATATACTTGAAATAAATTTTATTTTCGTTTTCTTTTATAACAAGAAAATTAATAGACTGATAGCTAAAACAAATAAAAATGCTGAAACTGCGACCGATGCTACTAATGTCAGCGCAGTAGTCAGAGCAGAATTCGTTGTTAGAGCAGAATTCATTGTTGTTACGGGTCCATCAGGTTTATATTCGCCAATGCATTTATAATCAAATTGTCACTTGTATCTAAAATATATACTTCATTCATTGTCGGTGATAAAGACCGTTTATTTCAAAAACCACAATCATACAATATCAACCAAGTTAGCAGAATGTAAAAATCGATTATCCGATAAGATCGTCTAAAACCGGAACCGATGTATTTCGATCAATATACAATAAAGACGCCGTCTTTTGCTATTATATATATATATATAGCTTATATGTTTCTTTTGTAAAAAAAAAAAAGTATTTTATAAAGAACATAGATTATAACAAAATTTCTTTAATTACTTGAACAGAAGAATGATGTCCTCGAGGTGTAAGCAGATAACCCGTAGTAGTCTAATATATGTATATGTAAATATATACCATAAATTAAATCTCATAACAACTTAAGTCTTTCGCTAACAAACATACCATCGAATGCCATGTGTCATCATTGATATTATATAAAGGTATCTAAATTTTATTTAAAAGAAAACGAGATCAATGATAATAGCCAACACTTATTCATTTATTTCAATTCTTACCTACCACACCAGAAGAATCTACACCGCCTATGTAGACAATGTTACCATTCGGTAATAAAGCAGCTGCGTAATCAAATCTTCCTAATGGTGCACCAATTTAACTACCAACTCCCCACATTAATGTTCCTGTATCTAAACATTACAATTTAAAATAGCGAGCCGAGCATGAAATAGATCAATAAGAATGCGATTAGGCAGAGGAG